TATCGAATATATATTACAGAGAGACGTGTGTGTACGAATATGCACGATTCTATTTGCGAAGCTTCGGCCACGGTTAGAAACAGCCGATGATGAAAATCGTACTTGGCAGTGCGCTTAGAACGTAGTGCGCACACTGTGTATACGCTTATCTTATGACCACACCACTGGATACACGGGTTTTGCCGAGTAACCAGTTGCAACATTTGCATTTCAACCTTACTCGAGCGTTCGACTCTTAGTTCCTTCGAACGAACGTGGAAACCTCGGCTAAAAAACAAAACGAAAATAAACATGTAATCGCGAATTTTTTATTGGTGCGATATTTTGTACAGTTACTCTTTTAACAAATTCGTTCTTTCGTGAGAAAAAGTGATCACAAACGTACAAGGGCTCGAAGAGGTTAAACGAAAATTGAAGAACAGAAAAAGCTTTCTACATCGTGGAAAGCTTCCACTTCATTCGTCGAATAAAAATAACCGCGTTATTCGGACGACGCCGATCATAAACGCGTAAATATCGGCAGTTTAGTTAACAAACGGGAAGAATAAACAGGGCGTGCTTACATTGGGAAACTCTTTCATCGTACGCATAGGGTTTTTGCAGAGACACGAGAATGTCACGTCGGTATCGATCGTTGGTCTGTACGAACACCTCTTACCCTCTCGTTTTATCCCTTGGACGTTTATACATATCATTGCGTACGAGTCGACACGATAATATCGGCGAAATTTTCCATTAAACACGGGGAAACCGTGCTCGGCGACACCCTCGAATTAAAACGATGGTTCTCGAGGTCCTCGACGACGCCATCGAGGTCTCTCGACGTTGCTATAAGTGATTTATCATCGACAAGGACGCGGAAAAATCGATCAAACTTCTAGGACTAGTTTACGCACTAAACAAAAAAAAGAAAAAAAAAAAAAAGAAAATTCTTGTCAAAATGAAGTATTAGGTTGTCCCAAAAGTTTCTTTCGCTTTATTAATAACTAATACATGCACGATAGCTCATGCTTTATGTTACATTACTGAATTGTGCGCGATTCATTTTGCTCCATTACAACATGAATATCTATGAAATTAGATCGTCTATTTATATAAACACTGCCGCAGAAAATAATTGAGTGCGACTCGCGAAAGAAACTTTCGGGACAACCTAATATATCGCATTTCAGATTTTCGGTGAAGTTTTGCGAAAAGTTTTGGCCTTTGATTCTGGTGTATTTTGAAGTTTATTGCAATGGGTCCTTGGAGACGACGTTTTACGCGACTTATCTTTGGTGGCATAGACCAATAAATCCTTGCAACCTCTCTCTCTTGAAAAAAAAAAAAAAAAGTAGCCTAATTTCCAAGTTGGAAAGGTGCCTAGGTGCGCGCACGATTTTACCGAAATGCGCAAAGCTTTTTCGAATTATCCCGATAGAAATATTCGGACGCGCGAAAATTTCTCGAAATACGTCGCTGGGCTTGTAAAATAAAACGAAAACGCAGAAGGGAGGAATTTTATCTTCGATTCGAGTAGACGAATAGAGACAGACAACGTATATCATCGAGTCACTTTGCGGTAATGTCAATTAGAAATGTTTATTGTAACGGTATATCCTCGTGTCGAATTGCGCAACGTCCCGTCAAAATCGTCGTCTTTTCGTGACGGAAACTCGCGAGGAAGCTGAGGACCTACAAACGGTGTTTATAATAAACAAATGGACGCTTTAATTATAGCGGCGAAAGACGCGCGAAAACAAAAGCGAGACTCGGAACGATCCCTGTACAGTCGCGACGAGGCAACAACAAAACGGTTCGAGTGTAGCGGCGAAAGATACGTAAAAACAAAGGTGAAATTCGAACGATCCCTGTATAGGCACTCGCGGGTGGGCCAAAGAAGAAGAATGGCTGATGTATAACATCGACGATTGCGTAAAATCGAGACCGGCAGCTTGCCAAAGTTCGCGGATAGCTGCGGCTGCGATCGAGTCACGAGATATATACTCGCGATATTTTGGAGCGTCGAAGCGTGGTTGACACAAAGCAACCCCAAACGCCATTCGATTGGTGAATCGGACGAATATTCGAAAAATTGATCGATTTATTTATTTATTCGGTGGGTGGATACTAGAGATCTCTAATTCGCGTGTACCGAAATACCCGGGTATTTTTAATTGTAAATTAAAATAATTTTTAAATGTAATTTTTATATACGAAGTTTTATATAAGACAGCTATTATTCTAAAATAACGATCTTTATTAATTCTGAAGAAATTGATATGCGGTAAAATAAATAAATAAACAAAATTATAAACATACGAAGAATACATATAACAGAATGAATCGTTTAGTGTAATTTGTACAATTTTATTTACTAGTTACAAATAAATATTCGAGTCACGGGTAGCAATAGATAATTCGATGTATGCGTACACGTGTATTTCGATGCAAGTGTACGTACCTGGATATCCGTGTATTAAAAATACCCGTGTTCTTAATTCCTTAATACACGGTACACGCGTTCCGCGTATTTTAATACCCTTTCAAAACCGTGATCTCTAGTGGATACGCTTTGATACGAAGGAAGAGCAGACCAACAGCTAGCGAATGTAGTAGGGGTTACTCTGAAAAGGTTCTACGGGGTCCCAGAATTAGCGTAAAAACCGGAAATGGTAGCTGAGACGATTCTGAACCACAATTTCCTTTGCGAAAATGCCGGATGATGCTTCGTTAATAATTCAAGAACGAAGCATCGTTCGGTATTTTTCGCAAAGGAAATCGTGCTCTTCCACCAATTCTGGGAAATTAAATCAAGGAAGCATCGACTTAGGTTCTTCGCGTAGCAGGGGTTGCTAAGAAGGTTACCCGTGGATGTTTTAATTTAATTTCTATTCAGGATTACATAAGAAAATATTTGTCTCGCAGAAATTAGCGTAGTCAACGAAATTAAATCAAGGTAGCTTCCATTTAAGGCTGCTTTCGAATCCTAATCACAAAACACGTTGTAGCTTCTCGTTGAGATTCGGGTTTAGCAGGTTGAAAAATCTTTACCAAAGTTTAAAAGAGGCACTTAGCGACGTTAAGTAGACGAGTACGTCGGTAAATGTCGCGATTACCCGCTAAACTGCGTTGTCTCGAAGTCTCTGTATTCGTTCAAACTGAACAATAGCACTCGACGATCCAATAATATCTCAACTTATAAATTATCGATTGTTTCGATTCCCGTTCTATTCGTCAACGTGTCGACATACCGCCGCTTCCGACGTGTTCGTACGACGTGAACGTGGCCAGTTTCGCCAGAAAATTATCTACTCATTCGTGGACTACTCGCGGGACATTAACCATGGATAATAATACTCGCAAACGAAATTATGTAACTGAAAATCGAGATCAGCGTTTGGTTTCGGGAGCACCGCCGTTCCACTTGTACGTTCTAATTCGTCGTTCGTTTCGCCTCGCGAAATATATATACATGGTGTCCCAAAAGTCGGGGAGGAGCCGGAAAGGGGGGGTAGCTGAGACGATTCTGAACAACAATTTCCTTTGCAAAAATGTCGGATGAGGCTTCGTTAAGGAGATATTAAACGAAAACCCCGACCAATCAGAGCGCGCGTAGACCGTTGGAGCGGCCGCGGTAGCGAAGGCTACGCGCTGAGCGGTCGCGTCAAGATCCTTCGATGCACGTCGAGTCACTTGTCGCGTACGAGAGCGGCTACCTAGCGCGTAGCCATCGCTACCGCGGCCGCTCGAACGGTCTACGCGCGCTCTGATTGGTCGGGGTTTTCGCTTAATATCTCCTTAACGAAGCCCCGTCCGACATTTTTGCAAAGGAAATTGTTGTTCAGAATCGTCTCAGCTACCCCCCATTTCCGGCTCCTCCCCGACTTTTGGGACACCCTGTATATTTCTTTTTCTTTCTCGCAGATAGCCTAAGTGTCACGCGCGTCGTTTAAAAAAAAGTATAACTTCGGCTCGTTTGCTTCAATGTCGGCGCGCTTACGTAAAGGTATCGGTCGGTTCTAATCCGTGGCCTTGAAACGCTAATACAAATCGGATTTCCTGTCGACAAATCCTTTTTCTTTTGGCTTCTTCGAGTCTCCGGGCGATTAAAGCGGCACAGGTGGTAGGAACGTACGTTAACGTTCTATATTAATATAGATCAAGAGTAGTAATTCTAAATTTGTTAGCGTTACTTGTTGTTTAAATATGTAAAACGGATTATAATCGGGGGTGTACACTATTTCAAATAACTGTAATTGGTCGTCGCGTTGTATTACGTTAATTTGTTAACGTAGGTCATCCGTGACGGGTATTCTATATTTTCTTTGACGTAACGACAGATATAGTCTAATAAGTTCGTTATACTAAGCGCCCCGGTTATTAATAAATTCGTACTCGATGCATCTATTTAATTGCCGCTCTAAACGCGACTATTATACGCGCGTCGCATTCTGGCCACGCTCCAGTTTCGTTTTATTATTCGTTCACGTTTGTGAAATTGTCTTAGATTCCGTGCTCTTGGAAGTAACGTGCTTCTTGCATCATAAATTATTACACACGTGCTGCCAGGATCCTACACAGTGTCTCGTTACGAACGGGCCAGCCCGAAAGACTCGCGTTTATCTGCTTGAAAATTCTGAAAACGTTTCGCGGAAAATACACAGCTTGCTACAAAGATAAAAATGAAAAAAAAAAAAAAATATATCGATCTTGTGACTTTCAGCAGACCAAGGTGGATGCCGTTATTCTTTTCAAATTCTCTTACGTAAGTGTCGAGTTGCTTGCGCAATTCATGCAGGCGCGCTGGAGAAGTTATAAAACGAAATTGAAGCATGCTCTCTCTCGAACGTATGGAAAAACCAGTCGTCGAAGAGTCAATATTAAACACTCGACGATTTATAGATCAATTCGTTCCGTTGTTGAACGATTTCGCGTCTCCGTTCTTGGGAACTGCAAATGCTACGTGGTAGTCGATAAACTTCAGTGGCATAATTGCGATGTAATTACATTTAAAGTGTTCGAATAATACATCGATCATTCGACCGAATTTTCTACCAATCGAAAGACAACCTCTCTTCATCTATACGATTGCTCGTAACTCACAATTTAAGTAATACCTGTAGATTTCAGGCGAAAGCACAACGGTGTTGCGATACGAGCTATACAAAGACCATTATTTTTTTTTTTTTTTTTATAAATAAACGCATTATCTCGTTCGACGATTCGAAATCCACGATTCGAAATCCACCCACAGTATCGACGATATTTTTTAGTTCAAAGCGGCTCGTCGAGCAACATCTTTTTTCTAATCTGAGTTGGGCAAAGTTTGATTCTTACGATAATCCAGAAATCAATTCCCAGCAACGACAAAACGTAACAAGTAATTCGTTAGCTTCTCGGAGGTGAAAACTTGTTTCCTCGTTAGCGCTTGGCGAGAGAAAAAAAAAAAGAAGTGGTAACAGCGTAGCGCGGACCTTCGATTTTATCTGAATAATGTATACTTGATTAATTAGCGCTGAAAATCGCCGTTGAGAACCTCGGACGCATTTGAAAGAGCGCGAAACGCAACAGGATATGCAAATGGAACGGGGGGGAAAAAAGCGGTTTGGTTTATGAAATATTGATAACTTGGCACAATCGGCGTCACAAAGCTTCTCGCGTTCTTTTCGCGAGCTCGAACGGAGCACTTCGCCGAGGAATCGGCGATTCCATTCGGGCCTGTCTGCGCCCGAGATTAACCACGTTCACTGCCAGGCTGATACTCTTGAAAATTTCTACCGCGACTTAATTCTGTTTACAGACTTTTGGAAACTGCGTAATGAACGATTTATTTCGGTACTTAGTTCCGTAACTTCGTCGAAAATTCAAGTATTTCATTTAAATTCATTTTCTATGACACTTAACTTTCAGAATTAATAGTTTTCGTTTTTCAGCGAAAAGCACTGTCGCCCATATACGGGCGACGTGGCGATCAACGTGTTAATCGCGAACCAGTTGGAATTAACAAGCCTTCCGGTTAGGGCAAGATACCGCGGGTTTTTAATAAACAAGAATGGGTTAGGTCGAATCAATTTGTACTACCTGTACAAATGTTTTATTCAATTTTGACACAGTCGTCGGCACGAACTTATGGGACGACCTAATAGATAAGGCCGACGAATTAATAATAACCGCTGAATTTCGTGGCTATCGTTGAAATTTTCTTTGGCGGTGGTCGCTCGTTTAAATTTCGCTGATCTTTCTTCGGAAAGGTGCCGACGCGCGTTAAATTTCATACGGTTCGCGGTAAGAGGAGCTCCACACCACGGGTCATTGAAAAACGATCGTCGACGTACGGGTTCTTAGCTTTCGTTTCTGTCGTCGCAAACGGAAGTATTCAGTGGCAAGAGACGGCTACGTTTTTCGAGCTTTTCGCCGTGGCTACAGGGTCCGATGACGCAGCGTTTGTTCTGCATTCGTCAGCCGACGCGAATAAACCGAGGTACCCCCGGTTTTATTAAACGTCGACCATCAATGTAGTTCCGATCAAAAGGATAGACAGCTTTGTTGAAATTGTGAACTATGGAAATGGATAAAATTCAAAGAGTCCGGCATTCGATACTTTTTATAAGCACAATTTCAAAGACATTCGTTGTCTCTGTTGCTGCTAGACAGCTTTGTGTGAAATTGTAAACTATGGAAATGGATGAACAAAAAAAAAAAAAAAAAAAGAAACGGGTAAAAAATGACATACCTCAAAAAGTCTCGAGAACGGGACCGCCGCGGTTAATGTTATTTTCATACGATCTAAACGTAAGAAAAAGCGAAGCCATCCTGGCTACTGAAGCAGCAAAGAAAATATTATACTCCATGATTTTACTCAAACGAAGAGAAACAAAATTAAACGATCGATAAATTAACGTAGCTAGTATTTAAATATGAAGTAGTTTTTGAAAAGCTACAAAATGGTATATATCACTTGCGTATAAAGTTATTTTAATGACTTTCAAAGATTGCACAAACTGACAAAAAAAAAAAAATATACATGTCGAATTGAGTAACCTCCTCCTTTTCGAAATCGGTTAAAAATTCGAAGAGTCCAGTATTCGATACTTTTCGTAAGCATAATCTCAAAGACATTCGTTATCTCTGTTGTTGATAGGTAGCTTTGTTGAAATTGTAAATTATGGAAATGGATAAAATTCAGAGTTCGGTATTCGATACTTTTTATAAGCATAATCTCAAAGACATTCGTTATTTCTGTTGTTGATTTTTTGATCTGTTGATTTAATCCTGCTGTTAGTGTATATCAATTGCGATTAATTAATAAGGCGAATAATCAGACGATGGATCGCACAGATTCGAGTTTATCGATGCTTATCTTTCAATTTGTATAGCATTTATGCGTGGAATTCTTCTCAAAAGTCATAGTTTGAAGTCACGTAGGTGGAAGTCATTGGTAGATGTATAAATAGCGAAGAAATAGTTCCTCTTAGAGGGTTAACGAAAGAAGTACCCATCCTGGATAACAACCAAAGCGAGGAAACGGGGAACTCGGTGTTTTCGATCGAAGTACCGCGGATGAAGCTGTCGTGACCGATGGCGAACAGAACGCGAACGACAAAAAATGGATAATTGCGAAGGGGAATCGATAGAGTTCGGAACGTGGAGATGGGACGACCTCGCGTGCACTCCCAAACGTTGCAACGCCAATTAATAATGAAAGCAATTTGGATGACAAACGATATTCCGCGGCTGAAACCGTTCTTTAACCCACGTGTCGCAAACGTTCGTTGATTGATACTAAATTGATACTAGTCGATGTACGATTACCGTTAGGAAATTCTTATTGGATTACGGGATTCGTAAAAGAAGAAGTTCACAGTCTTTAATAACTTATATCAAATCCTTTATTGTTAAGACACGGGAAGGACGTGTTTTCGCTACAAAACTTGACTAGGTAACGATATATACCGGATGTCCCAAAAATGTTGGAGATCCGTGAAAGAGGTGGTTTGGGGGGATGATTCGAAACAAGTTTTTCCTTAGCGAAAATGAACAACGATGAACTTTTTCCATGGCAAACAAAAATATGATATTAAAAATCGTACGAAAAGTTGTGAAATTGTATTTATCGTAGTTACAAAAATCATTAGGTAGACCGGAATGTAACGTCGTTTTCGCAATTTTAAATCCTTGTTTATCACTCAACGCGTTGATTTTGATCATTGGACGTTTGCGCACTAGGTGACTGTTGATGACGAGGGCGATTATGTAATCGCTTAAAAATAGAAATTTATCAAAAATTTTGTTTGAATTTAGTGTAGAAGAAACGACGAAACTGCGTTTTTTCCAATAACATAAATAAAAGAGAACGTTAAATATCTTACATTCAAATCTCGCGGGTATAGCTCCTAAACCATAGTTTAGGAAGTCCTGATCTAGTTAAATTACAAAGAGGCAAAATTAAGGTGTGTGGTGTGTGGGTAGGGGAGGGGGAGAGAGGAAGGGAAGGGAAGGGAAGATCCTACCAGACTTATCGAGCTGGAAGTGTCTTCAAGGTCGGTTGGTTCTAGCAAAGGGATCCGGGTCGCGTCCGTCGATTAGGAGGTCGTCGCGGCGTTTCAGGAACGGGTCGGACACAGGTGAAGCAAGGTGGCCGGACATATTGGAGGTTGACTCTAGCGAGGGTGAGTTTCAGTCTCCTTTTTAAGGGTGGTAAGGACGAGACTGGGCCTGTTTTTATCCTTTCGCGGTGAACTTGAACTACCAGCGCAGAAATTATTTGATAGATCAGCGTTATTTATATCGGAAGGTTTTAAATTAACGATAAAACTATCGCGAGGTCCACGCAAATGGATCTGTTGATACATAGATCGCAACGAAAGCATTGTTAACCCTGGAATTGCGGAGATTTCTTATCGGATTTCTGGAATCGAAGGATCGCTTTAATAAGTGAAGTCGATTTGCTGAAATTAATTGGGAGCCTTGAGCGAAAATGAATTTCGATGTACGCTCGTCTTTTTGTATGGACGACAGCCGGTGGTCGAAAGAAAATATAAACGGTTTCTGTAAAATCTTGGGCAATTTACAATGGGTTCGTCATAGAACTGCGTTTGGCATAGAAATAACGTACAAAGAAAACGGTATCGCTGCGTTCCGTCTCAGGTGTGCTAGTCGGAGTTGGCTCGACAATCAATTGCGCTTAATCATGCGCTAATAAACCATCGAGTAATTGGAGACTGTTCAAGCGATTAATAGTATTACGTTTGACGCGAGATCAGCCAAATAAACCTCGTGGGTGACCAAGCGTTGTCGTTGGAACTATAGAAGGTAAAACTTACTATCAATGCTTATTTAAAGAATATAATTAGCAGTGAAAATGATTAACGAAGCACTCGACGAGAAAGAATGTTTGCTATACACCGAGGACTTTTAAAATAATAATTTTTGAGATCAGTCAAATAAGCCTCGTGGGTGACCAAGCGTTATCCTTGGAACTATAGAAGATAAAACTTACTATCAATGCTTATTTAACGAATATAATTAGCAGTGAAAATGATTAACGAAGCACTCGACGAGAAAGAATGTTTGCTATACACCGAGGGTTTCTAAAATAATTTCTGCGCGCAGTTTAACGTTCTCGAAAATAAAAAGAAGCCCGTCGTGTCCGGTTGCTTTGCTAGAGCGATCCGACTTGATCCCTGCTGCTAGACACTCCCGCCTATCGTCGTTTGCAAATTCGTGGCATAATCATCGCGTCCTACAATTTGTTAATCAGGTACGATTAATCCCACGAACCTTATCTCGCAGGGAAATGAAAGTAAACGTACGATAAAGTTTAGTATCGACAAGAGAAGCTTTATTAGCGGCTTTCTCGCGATTAGTAACCTTCGCACCTTTCGATTCCCCTTGCTCTTACTTCCGATCTCAAGTATACGTACACGGTAGCCTTGAGCCGCTTGAACGTTTGCGATTGTCCTGCTGGACGTTCGACTCCGTTAACACGTTCGTCCGACCTACATGTTGCGTCATTGGTCAGTGATCGAGGAATTCCATGTTTCACAGGCTGAATCATCGATCACCGAGTAAACGAAAATTCCAGGTAGCGAGTACGTTAGAAACGTAGAAATGAAAACTTATCGAAGCAAAGGATGATATCACTAAAATTTCTGTATAAAGTCGTGGAAATTGTGTTTCTCTGTTACCATCGTTAGTCACCTAACGGTCGCGATCGAGCCTAAGAAAATCCTTGTAACGTATCTACGAGGAAAACGCGAAATCCGGACGAAGGTCGATGAATCGATCGTTGGTGTTCTGTCTGTCTATCTGTCGATGCCTTTAGACCGACGCCCCATTAATTGGATTTTTCCCTGATTCGATAAAGCGTACATGTTGAGTAACAACAACGATTGGTACACACGGTCAATCCGTCTGGAACGAGATACCCTCGTATCTGCCTCAGACGGATACGAATTGAATGACGTCGGGATAATGCAACACATGTAAAAAAGGTCGTTACGTGTGGTTGTTACATATTGGCACGCGTGCTTGGTAGAATTCGGTGACGCTTGACACGTAACGACGAGACTTAATAACGGTATCAACGCGGGGTAGTTTCACGGAGGACTCTTATCGGAGTCTTTGACGTTTGTGTACCCTCGTCTTCGGATCAGGCTGAGCAAATTAAACCTAGGGGTCCGTTTGAAGTTGCCGTGTATATTGTACGAGGGCAGAAACCTCCAGGTTTTCTTTTTTTTTCTTTAGATCATTTGTTATATTTGAAAAGTGTGAAATTCGTTTTTTTTTTTTTTTAGCACGTTTACACCGGCGCGGCGATACACGCCGCCCGATTGGACGTACGAGCGTGAGCCACCGGTGGTACACGCCGGCGTGAACATGTTAAAGTGGAAGCCTAGAGAAAGAGTTTCAAAGCCTCTGATATCAGATTACACGTATATCATCGAAGCTTCTTCAAATTACAGCAACACGACCTTCACAAGTTGCGTCTTAGCATAATCGTAGCAATATTTCGAAGGCTTCGAAACATTACACGCTTGTTTAACCTCTCGAGGAATGCATTTTAACACGTTGGTCGCCACATCATCCAGAAATAGGTGACAGGACTTTTTGTTAAGGAACTAAAAAAATTAATTCCAGTGGTGAGGCGATAATGAAAATGAATCTGGATAGGATTCGAAAATCTGGCAGTTAAAAAATTCTATACTACAACGAATGTTAACTTATCTAATCTTCATTAGTCTCGAGACATAGTTTTAACTTTGTAACAATTTTCACGAGTTTCAACTTGGCAGCCAACGTGTTAAACGGATTTTCTTTGGTTTAGTCTGATGCAAAACAAACCAAAGCAATCTTTACCTGTATGTACTTACATTTCCTACGAATACAGTAAAGACTGGATACGTGCAAGATGGGACCGACTGGATAAATGCAAGATGACTATAATCAGTTACGTTACTATTGTCTCAGCAATACGCTTCTGCACGACTGCTTTTCTTTCCTCGGACCTCTTTCTCTTTCACACCCTGTCCTTTTCTACGTTCGACTCGAGCCAAATGTAAACACAGAATAGAAACCTCGACCGGATAACTGAAATGTTTAGGTTCCGATTTTCTCGCGGTCATCCAGTCTTTACCGTGTGCTGTCTGAATCTAAAACGGATCGCGATGGTAAATAATGGTAATTTTTATACAAGGTGTCCCAAACATGTTCTAACACCTTGAAAGGGGTGGTACAGGGGGTGATTTGAAGCAACTTTTTCCTTAACAAAAATGTTGTCCGAGACTTCGTTAAGGAGATATTAATGGAAAACACTGACCAATCAGAGCGCGCGTATACCGTTGGAGCGGCCGCTTAGCGCGTAGCCTTCGCTCCACCGGCATCCTTGCGCTCTGATTGGTCAGTGTTTTCCGTTAATATCTCCATAACGAAGCCTCGGACAACATTTTCGCTAAGGAAAAAGTTGTTTCAAATCACCTCCCGAATCACCCCGTTCAAGGTGTTACAACATTTTTGGGACACCCTGTATATACAGAGTAGAGGTGATTTGAAACAACTTTTTCCTTAGCGAAAATGTTGTCCGAAGCTTCGTTATGGAGATATTAACGTAAAACACTGACCAATCAGAGCGCGCGTATATCGTTGGAGCGGCCGCGGTAGCGTATAAGCGCAGCCGCTTAGCGCGTAGCCTTCGCTCCACCGGCATCCTCGCGCTCTGATTGGTCAGTGTTTTCCGTTAATATCTCCATAACGAAGCCTCGGACGACATTTTCGCTAAGGAAAAAGTTGTTTCAAATCACCTCCCGAATCCCCCCGTTCAAGGTGTTACAACATTTTTGGGACACCCTGTATAAAAGCAAACTTCCCTCGAGACGTTTGACTCCCTTCGTCGTCTGCTATAGCTTAAAATATGCTAAAGAACCTAACATTGTAAAATGTATTTCATAGAAAAAACGAAAGTTTCCCCAGGCATCGATCACATTTGAAACCACCTGCACTCGCGATAACGATCGTTTCGAGACCGAGATTGCGTATCGATGCTCTTGGAACCGACCTCAAAGAGCGCGATAAAGCGTGATTTATGCTCGCATCCG